CATCGTTGTTGGAGATGAGTCCGATGAGGGTGGTGTCATCCGCGAACTTGATCAGCTTCACGGAGTCGTGGCTGGAGGTGCAGTGGTTGGTGTACAGGGAGAAGAGCAGGGGAGAAAGAACACAGCCCTGTGGGGCTCCTGTATTTATAATCCGAGAGTCCGAGACATTCTTCCCCAGACGCACTCGCACTCACCATAGACTTTGAAATTGCATTGAAACCCGACACAACGCATGATCCGGTCTGAACGCGCCATAACGCCGCTTGTGCTCTCTCGTCAGGCTATATTTCTGGTTTGGATAAACTTCCCTTCAACACACACTTTACAATCTTGCTTAGCTTTCCCTTTGATCTGCACACCCTCGGTAACATTTTCTAGTTTAGACAAATCTTCATTATTACTGTAGGAGCCATAAATTGAATATAACAGTGGGCTGTGATTTGATTGGGTGATATGCCGGGTGTGGGTCACGTGGTTACTGGGGCGGTGTCTACTTAGTTCTCACCTCTGTTTTATGAATGAAATCAGTAGTAGAGGGGGGGCTGGGTCGCTGTAGTTTTTGTTGACCGTTCGTTTGTGTTTGTTTCTTTTGCACCTTTGTTTTCTCACTGTTTCGTTCAATATCAAGACGTCTACGTTATGTTATCACCTCATCCGTGTTTCTTTTCATTAAAACACCATCAAACTTAATCCCTGACAAAGTGTGCTCTGTGACAGCAAGCAGCGCGTCATACAATTAGACGAACCCGGTTTCTAGTCATTGTTTACCTCAACTGTTCTCAGGCAGTACAAGCGTCCATATTCATTGATGTTGAACCTTGTACCATTCTTGTGAACAAGTTAGTTAGATCCTTTCTTGAATGTGACTGATGCTCCGCTGGTCGTCGCTGCCTGGACTGAGAAGATGTCCTGTGGATATGAGGGGATGTAAAGAGCTCCTTCCAGCGTTGCCTTTACACTGCGTCCCTCGCAGTCCTGCAGGTAAACTTCTGCTGCTCCTCTCTTCAGCGCGACACCACTCGCTCTCGTCCGCCAGCTCCATGAAGTGTCTTTCCCGTGTGAATGCATCGTAAAACTTTTTGAAACTTTTAATGTTAGTGACTATGTGAGACGTGGCTCCCGTATCGACCATCAAACCTCTCTGTTTCAGGCCTTGAACATCCCAGTCGTTTACTTGAATGCAAAACTATGATCTTCAGAATCCGTTACATGTTCAACATTCGTCTGTTATGTCGTCTACCATTCCTGTCTTTATGTGTGGAACTGTTGCAGTAACTACACCACTGCTTCTCCTTTGACTCAGGTCATTCACTTTTCTTTCATAGCATTCATGTGAATATGACCTTTCTTTCCACGGTTGTAACGTTTGATTTCTACATTGTCTCTGTTTTTATTTCTCTGCCAGTTACTCGTCTTCTTACCAGTCTGTGGTAGCTAGTGCTGTGTTCTTTGGGGTCGCGTGTTGGGGTGGCAGTCTGACCTCAAGAGACAGTAACCGGATTGACAGGCTGATCAAGAAGTGTGTCTCTGTGATGGGGAGAAGTGTGGACTCTGTGGGAGCTGTGCTGGAGAGGGCTCTAATGCAGGGCATCCTGGGTAACTCCAGACACCCTCTGCATGACACTATGGCCGCTCAGAGAAGTAATCGAAGCAACAGGCTCCTATCACCACGCTGCCGAACGGAACGTTTCAAAAGATCCTTTGTTCCTTCGGCTGTCAGACTGTACAACAAACCTGACTGACTGTACTACAACAACAAGTAAAGATTCTTCTTCTGCTGGACACCTGAATTTCTCCTTCGGGGGACCAATAAAGTATTTATCTATCTATCATTACGTTGTCTTCTCAGTTTACAGGCTCTTCTGTGATCTCGTAGTTCCTCAGCTTTGCTTTGAACTCGCTCAATTTTATTTCTTTTTCGCTCTGGGTAATGTGGATGGAAAATGGCTTGAAACTTTCAGGCAAACCTTTTAATACCATCGCCACAAGCAACCCATCGCTTAAAGTCTCTCCAGCGTTCCTTAAAGCTGTGAAGGCATTCTCTGCTCGTATCCAATCCACTTTATTTATATAGCACATTTTATAAAACAAGTTTCCAAAGTGCTGCAAAGAGATAAGATCAACACATTTAAATCTGCACAAAGTAAAAACTTGAAAAGCAAGGTCTTGGATTTGGACTTATATTAAATCTCAATGTTCATCTGCGACCGAAACATGTATTTATACCTTCTACAGAAACTCTTTTTCCAACAGAACCAGGCGCATTGTGAAAAGAAAACAGCTGATCATATTCACCAGTGTAGAAGAGAATGGTTTAATGATCTATGACTTCAGGATCACCTGCCAGTCGCTGGAATATTTAACATAAAAAAAACAAGACTGAAAATCTAAAGACAATAAAATTTGTTAAAATAATGAAAACATTTCCAGGCAGAGGGAACTTCACAAGTTTTGAAGGATAAGTTGAAAAGATCTGCCAGAGGAAAGCAATCTTTCTGAGCAGAGCAGCAGAAACAGCAGCTCTGCCTCAAAGAATCCAGTTCCAGTGAGAAAAAGAGCCTTCAGCCAATCAGAGCTCCACAAAGGAAGCTTCAGTTGTGCAGATGTATTTAATGGTGCAGTTCTGGAGACAGCCGACAGATGGCGCCGTGTGACTGTTTCAGTGTGAGCTTTCACTGTTTATTGTTAGAGCTGTTCATATAAAACACCGTTCTGTGGAGAATCATGACATACATCATAAATGCACTTGTATTAGTGACACTAAGATGCCCACGTGACAACCATGTGTTCACTTCAATTCTCTTTATTTACAAAACTTCAACAAGTCCCACACACACTAATGTCTAAGGTTTGGAAGTGCTTTGGAAAAGGGAACTCCCAGGAAGCTGCAGGAGCTTATAGGCGGGGCCCAAAACAACACATGTAAAACACATGTGACACTTTATACCTTTATACTTTCATAAACACATTTCTAAACATTTGACCCACTCACACATCCTCACAGTTTCAGTCTGGACTCTTCCTTTTCTGGTACTTGGTCTTACTCATAGTAATGTAACTGGTGACACATGTGTATCCATAGCAACATACATGTTACATAATAAGTGACACACAATATCTGCAACGAACAATAAAATACTGCGATTAAAACTATCAATAGTTAAACGCAGGTTTGCATTCTTCATTTCTGGAGCTAAATCATTCACATAAATTGCAGATAAAGTTGGAGAGAAGACAAACAGCCTCAGATCATTCACTGCTCACAGGCGAACAGAGCCTTGTGAAGGGATTTTATACATTTATACATATCCAGTAATGCTACATTTAATTCACTTCTATTCAGAAACTGTTTATCCAATCAAAGGCTTCAATAATCAAAACAAAGTAGTTTAGTTTTGCTGCAGTCTGGCTCGCACCACAGAGGACAGAACATAGATGTGCTCAATGCTCTGTTCTTCCTAAATCCATTCTGCTCATCGACCAATATCCGATGTTGTTGAATGTTTAGATCCAGAAAACAATGATTCTGCTGCACTTACAGTATCAGGCTGCTTCCTCTGCTTCAGTGGATTCTATATAATTATAGCACGGACTGTGACGAACACAAACTGCTCTTTTAAGAGCCACCCACTCTGACAAAGAGACTTTACTTCTGTTGTCATGTATTTACAACATTATCATCTGATTTTTTCTGCGTTCCCTAAATGACTTTGAAAATACATATCTGCAGATTTGGGTGTAAACATCTTTTTTTTTCGTATGCTATTCTGCTCAGAAAGCTCATTCAAAGATTTCATTTCACATTTCAGGGCTCATGAACAAATGTTATTAAATTAGGATTTTGGTTTCATCTTCAAGGAAATGTCTTTATGTTGTTTTAATTTAGTATATTTAGTATATAAACGATTTAGGGAAAAATATTAACGGCTTATTAACCGAGCAAGCAAGGTTTATAATTTTTTTTTTTCTCATATTTCTATTTTTAATTTATGCAAATATCAATCTCCGACTTGGTTTTCCTAATCGTGTTTTTAGCTTTCTGCTCTGCAACGAACTTGTCAATCTCATCTTGTCTTTTAGTTATTTTTTCTTCGTTATTTTCTGTAATTTCTTCTTCTGGCTCGTCAAACTCGTCCGGATAATAGAATTCACTGGAGAATGCTCCCAGTTGTCGCCCTTTATGTCTTTATTTACCGAGGAAACTCAGGAAAGAAATCAATTGTGATACGCGCTGCGGACTGATTGTCATGGTAACGGTCCGAGGAAAGATATCAAATGTGATACGCACTGTTCGGACCAATTGTCATGGTAACGGTCTGAGATGGGAAAATATTGGACCGGTAATCAGCCAATCAGAGCGCACGTATGGTCCAAGTCATATAATAAAATCCTTTATTGGGTTATTTTTTATTAACAATTTATTTATTTTGCAAATCTGTCTTTACTCCTTTTTAGAAGTTTCCAGAGTTAAGTCTTTTTGATTGTAATTGTTTAATGACAGACCATTATTTGAGCAAATGTTTCCTTTAATAGTTGCATAAACAACTGCCTTCAATGACACTGCACTCTCGGTGAACGCGAACATACGCATTTAGGAAATACCAAGTTCACACATGAGCTCTAGTGCAGGCTGACAACCAGGTATTCCTGACATTTCACTTCATGAATGATCTTACTATTTTTATATCAGGAGGATTTTCCAATTACTTTTTGAAAACACTGTTCTGCACTAACAATTTGGAAGACAAAACAGTCTTGATGAGCAACGCGGGAGTATTAAAGTATTAAAGAAAATAAACTTAAAAAAATAAACTCAGCAAGAGCAGTTTGTCGTCATTAAAAGAAGGCCTACATGTGGGACCGAGAACAGAACTCAGAACAGAGGTTGTGTTCTGGTCAGTTTCCAGTCTGCACACAGCACATGATAATTACAGAAGAGACCCTTTATGGTGTGTGTGGCCCTGAAAAGGGCCGTTGTGTGGCTTTGTAAACGGCTTCGTTTACTTGGAGCTGGTGCACTTGGTGCCCTCAGACACGGCGTGCTTGGCCAGCTCTCCGGGCAGCAGCAGACGCACAGCGGTCTGGATCTCCCTGGAGGCGATGGTGGAGCGCTTGTTGTAGTGCGCCAGGCGGGAGGCCTCTCCGCCGATGCGCTCGAAGATGTCGTTGACGAAGGAGTTCATGATGCTCATGGCCCTGGAGGAGATGCCGGTGTCGGGGTGCACCTGCTTCAGCACCTTGTACACCTCTCTCCTTCCTGCTCTTTCTCCTCTTCTTGCCGCCTTTGCCGGCGGTCTTGGTGACGGCTTTCTTGGAGCCCTTCTTGGGCGCGGACTTGGCTGGGTCAGGCATGTTCCTCCGTGAGTACAGACAGACTGTTTTGCGCAAGCGCATTTCATTTGCAGTCCGGACGCCGAGTGGTGAGGGTCTCCTCTCTCTCTGCTCCGCCCATAGACTAGCTGGGACTGCTGCGCAAGGCTACTGTGAGACTGGCCGCCTGTAAGTGCTTTGGGACGGGGGAGGGGCTCACGTTGAGGACAGTAACTGCAGAACAATACGTGCTTCACGAGTCTCCAAAACACCAGATAAGTCGCCAAAAGTTTAAGTTTAAGTTTATTAAGGAAAGCCCCTTGAGATGAATCATCTCATTTTCGAGGGGGTCCTAAACATAAATACAAACATATAAACACACACACATACACAAAAAGCAATTTACAGCGAATTAAAGATGAGAAAAGTGAATTAAACACACACAAAGACAAACAAAACAAACAACAACAAAATATAACAAAACAAATGCTCCATCGCACCCCACTCCTCCCCTCTGCTGAAATTAAACATATAGGAAAGAAGAAAAAAAATAAAAATAAAAAAAAGTAAAACTATTAACAATAATGACACAGAACATTAGTGACATAAACAAGGAGTTTCAAGAAACCTAAATAATTCAAACTTAAATAAACCAACAGACAGAATGGATCTTATGGATGTGGGGAGTTTATTCCAGTCTGATGGAGCCTTATATTGAAATGATCTGCGTCCAACTTCTTTAAAAACTCTTGGAACAGAAAAGGTGAGACAATCAGAGCTTCGGAGTGAAAAAGGTGTAGAGAAGGGGACAAAAAACTGTTTTAAATACTGCGGACAACTAAAATGAATAAATTTAAATAATAAGTGCATCCAGTGAAGGTGACGTCTGGTGTGAGGTTGAAGCCAGTGAAGGTTCTCGTACAGAGTGCAGTGATGTGTGTGATATGGACATTTGAGAATGAATCTACAAAGACAGTTAAAAAGTGTATTGAGTGGTTTGAGATGGGTGTGAAATGTGTTTTGATAAATGACGTCAGCGTAATCGATGATGGGGAGAACCAGTTGTGTAATGATGCGTTTTCTGACATTGAGGGTAAAGCAGAGGGATGATCGGAATAATGGGCCCATTGTGGCGTAACTTCTTTTGATGATGGAGTTGATGTGGTGTTTGAAGTTAAGTTCGGGGTCTAGCCAGAGGCCGAGATATTTGATTGTGTCTGCATTGAGCATTTTGGAACCGTCGTTAAAGTGAATATGGAGATCTGGGGAGTGGAGTAATTTGTGATGAGAGCCAAACAGTATACAGCAAGATTTTTTCATGTTTAAAATTAATTTATTGTTTGAAAGCCAGGTTTGTATGGAGTTAAAATCGATTTGCAATAGATTTTGGAGAGATGTGATGTCAGACTTTGAATTGTAAATAACGGTGTCATCGGCGTAGATATTTATGGAGCAGTTGGAAATGACATTAGGAAGATCATTAATAAAAATGGAAAAAAGAAGGGGGCCTAATGTGGAACCCTGTGGAACACCTTTTTCAACTACAGTTCTCCCTGATTGTGCACCATGTGAAACAACATATTGAGATCGACAGTGAAGATATGAATTGAACCAGAGAATAGCATTTCTGTTGAGGCCTATTGCGTAGAGTTTGTCAAGTAATAAATAGTGGTCAACGAGATCAAAGGCTTTGGACAGATCCAGAAATATAGAGCCCACAAACATATTTTTATCAAAAGAACAGAAAACATCATTCGTGAATTTTAATAAAGCAGTAGTTGTAGAAAACCCTGAACGAAAACCAGACTGAAAAGGAGAAAGTATATTGAACTCATTCATGTAATGATTTAACTGTTGGAATATAATTTTTTCAAAAAGCTTAGCAGCTGCGCAGATGATGGATATTGGCCTGTAGTTGTTCGGGTCTGAGGGATCGCCTCCTTTGAAAACAGGAGTGACTCTGGCAGTTTTAAAAACTGATGGAATTGTTGAGGTTTTTATTGACAGATTAAAGAGGTCGGATAAAGGAAACATAAGGACGTGAGCAGCAATTTTCAGAAACTTAACTTCAAGATTGTCTGGACCAGCTCCGCAGTTTGGTTTTCATTCATTTAAACAAGTATAAACAGTAAGTGGAGATATTTTTGAGAACGAGAAAGAGGGACCAGCATGAGATGTATTTTGGCAATCACCAGACACAGAGTTGTTAGGGATTATTCTGTTTATGGAAGAGAAATGTTCGTTAAATGCTTGAGATATTTTGATTGGATCTGATATATTTTCATTATTCACTACAACATGTTCAGTCAGTTTATTTTTAGATTTGTTTAAAACCAGATCAAGTTGGGCCCAGAATTTTTTTGGATTGTTCATGTTTTGAGCAAACCCCTCTTTGAAATATTCAGATTTGGAGTTCCTTGTTTGTGTTGTGCAGTGATTTCTGAGTGATTTGTAAGTTTCCCAATCAACCGGATGTTTTGTTTGTTTGTGTTTTTCCCATGCTGCGTCCCTTTTTCTGCAGAGAAGAAGAAGAGCGGGGCTGATCCAGGGCAGGTGTCGACCTTTTACACGAAGCGTTTTGAAAGGGGCGTGTTTGTTGATAATATTGGTGAATTCAGAGTGAAAATAGTTCCACGCGTCCTCAGCATTTGGAATGAGTTGAAACCGGTCCCAGTTAATATTTAATACATCATTAATAAATATTTCTGCATTCAGATTCTTGGTTTGTCTAAATGGGAAGTTTTATTTTCCAGACACAGAATACAATGGAATGATCGCTGAAGCAGTCGGCCATGACACCAGAAGAGGAGATTCTGTCTGGGTGGGTTACCAGGATCCAATCCAGTAGTGAGGAGGAACGTGCATCTATTCGAGTAGGTTCAGTGATAAGTTGGGTCAGATTAACGCTATTAATAAGATTTCTTTCTCTTGAGGATGAGCAGTGGAGCCAGTTACTGTTGAAGTCACCCAAGATGATCATTTCATTACGTTTTTTAAATGAACTAATTGTAGAGAGTATATCTTTCATAGAGTCAGCCGGAGCAGACGGGGGCCTATAGATATTAGTGATAGTTAAATGTTTGTTGGCATGAAAGTGAATATCAACAGATAAACATTCAAAGTTAACTGGCTCAACAGTTGGGAAGACACGAACTGAGGTTAAGTTATTGGATACATATATTGCTACACCACCTCCTCTTGAACCTCGATCCGATCTATGCAAAACAAATCCATCAATTTTTACCTCATCATCTGAAATTTCATTGTGCAGCCACGTTTCTGAAATAGTGATTATGTTAGGTTTGTATTGATGTGACCACAGTCTGAGAGAGTCCATTTTAGACACTACTGTATGCTCCTAATGTTCAGATGAATTATTTTCAGTCCCTTTGTTGCCATTATCATTTATTAATCATTAGATATATGTGACAATGCAGGAGGAGAAGCGAGCATGGAGGAGCTTTAACAAAAAACAAAAAACAAAGAAACACATTCATACAAACACAGACAGACATGTCAGTCTTTAAAAAGAGACTGGCAGGAGCAAGGATAAGGAAGAGAACAAAAAAACAAACTATCCAAAAAATCCCAGAAACCCCCTCCCTGAAATCCCAAGTTAGAGAACTAGAGAAAAATAAAAATAAATAAATAAACAATCCTTATTTAGTTACGAGAAAAACAATATTCAACCCATTTGGTCCATGTGCATCCACAGTTACTATTTACTTATTTTAATTAACACCAGTTAGAAAACTAGGGGAAAAAAAAAAAAAAAAAAAGCTTATTTAGTTAGAGGAGAAACAATAATCGACCCATTTGATCCATGTGCATCCACAGTTACTATTTACTTATTTTAATTAACACCAGTTAGAAAACTAGAAAAAAAAAAAAAAAAGCTTATTTAGTTAGAGGAGAAACAATAATCGACCCATTTGATCCATGTGCATCCACAGTTACTATTACTGGTTTTAAATAACACAAAAAAAACACTATATACATATATATAGGGACAAGAGGAGACAGAATTATGTGGTGATATGGTGTGAAGTATGCAGCAATGCAGTCCAGTTCAAAATTATTGGCAGTGTAGAGTCTGGTAAGCGTGACGCGTCACCGGCCAGTGACGTCATCACGTACGGAAGTAAACAACTCCCCACGCCTCTACACAAGAAGTGTAGTATGCTGTAATATACATGCCATCTGAAACCTCTTATTAGTACATATTATCATATTATTTGCAAAGCAAGTGGATTAATTATATATACATATAATAAAACGTATTCCATTTGTACATACATATCCATTCTTTGAATCTGGATCCTTTAAGTTTGGAAACAACATTATTATACCAAGAGCATACAAAATGCAGGCCTTCACAAGGGGGATCCTCCTGAGAAGACATGGTAAATTCAGGTAAATTTAACAAACTAAGAAAAATGTACAAGGCTTGACTCAAAACTACAAAGAATAATGAAAAACATGTAAATAGCTACCTTAAGTGAACAAACAAACAAGCGTTGAAAGTGCATGTTAGCTTACCCATGCGTGTCCACCATGTCTGCCACAAGTATGTTCACCATTATTTTCCTTGTGCCGTCAGAAAGGCCTTTTTTCTGGTCATATTCTTTGAATATTTTCTCGCCACCTGGTTTTGAGTGTAGAGCTGCCATGACGATCTGAAACAATAATTGAAAATATCCCTGTTACACATACAGTGAAATATGTTTCTGAAAAACACACTTACATCTCTGGCTACAGTGCTGTCAGGCGGACCTTCCTGCAGTTGTCTTTTCTGTGATTTGGCCATTTCCAGAGTTATTGTCGAGCCAGAACCGGAGCCTGAGCCAGAACCTGAATACGATGATGCAATAGAGGCGCGTGATGGAGACCACTCAAAGAATGAAGCTTCTGAGAGTGAAGCCTCCGAGAGTCTGAAGGCTAATCCTCAGTTTGGTTGCCTAAGAAAACAAAACAAAACTGATGTGCAGCAGAAAAATCACTTATGGTAACAGTACAGTAGAAAATAATGTGCATATCTCACCGATGGACTCTTCGGTGAAGGCTTTTAAAGACACCTGTGCAGACTTTAGAAGTTCATCAAATATGTCAGGATCCACTTCGACTCCTGCAGAGTCCTTTAACATCAAGGTTGTGGACGCCGGCAAATGGAATTTTTCTCGTACTAGCACACATAGAAATAATTAAACAGGAAATACAGAAACAATTATACATAAGTTAAGCCATTAAAGATGTGTGTTGTGCTAAGTTAGCAACATATAAAATGGTCAATTTAACAATGCTAAAATTAATAGATAGTATAACTATTACAGTCACATTACCTTCTTGTATTAAGCCTGAGTAGCTGTAGACATCTTCTGTCTTCGGAACCTTGACCCACTTGCTCACTGACTGGAATTCTACAGGAACCAGCATATCACAGCCTACAATAAAAAGAAATACAATAAAAGGTGTGTTTATATTCAGTTGATTAAAAATCAAAAACACCAACTTTGCACCTAACAACAGCAACACACTTGCTAATACATTTACTAAACTATTTCCCAATAATACACCAAAAGCATTTTTATTGGTGCTGTCCAACATTTTTGTTTTTTTTTAATTGCACATATACCTTGAAATATTTTCATACTCTTTATCAAGAGAGAAAGGTTTTCAATGAAAAAAAAAAATCACTTAAGTGTTATATGTCAAACCTTTGTCAACTGTTGATTCTCTGACCTGTGTTGGTGATTTCAATGGTTTTGTTAAGTCCTCTGAGATTACTTCTGTTGTGACATAGGGCTATACAACAATAAATTGTATGTAAAATGTCATACAATTCAATGCTGTCAATGAACAGATGTATAACATGTATAATGGTAACAAAAAAGCCCCTTCAACTATCCTTTCTAAGGGATCAAAACGGTGTGAACAAAATCCATCCATGTATCCACAAGGAGAGTTGGCATCAGAGTATTTAGCAAGCATCCTGTAGTATTTAAAAGTGGATGTGCTACGATGATAACACGTTAGTTCACAGCTAAGATAAAATAAGATAAGATAAGATGTGCTTTATTTATCTCACATAGGAGAAATGTACATGTCACATTTGGCATGGATAGAACACTCAGATTGTGCAAAAGGAGGAAATGTGCAAACATGTTACATGCAGGATAATTATGTACGATAAAGTGACAATAATTATGTACAACAAAAGTGTCAATTGGAAACAGTGTCAATAGTAGTGCAGGTTTTCACACAGTGATAATTTAAAGTGACTTATTGTACAGTCTGACAGCAGTGGGGATAAAGGCCCTGCGGTAGCGCTCCTTCTTACACTGAGGGTGCCTCAGTCTTCCACTGAAGGAGCTCCTCAGCTCCTCTACAGTTCTGTGCAGTGGGAGGTATTGTTCATGATGGAGGTGGCTTTGACTAGCCCCCTCCTGTCCCTCACCTCCTCCACAGAGTCCAGGGGCCTCCTGTCCCACACCTGCTCCACAGAGTCCAGGGGCCTCCTGTCCCTCACCTCCTCCACAGAGTCCAGGGGCCTCCTGTCCCTCACCTCCTCCACAGAGTCCAGGGAGCAGCCCAGAGTGGAGCTGGCCCTCCTGACTGCGAGACGGGGCCCGACTTCCGTGTGCGACCTGGCAGAGGAGTCAACACCGGTTCTGGGGCCCCGGCAAGCCCCGAGCACCGCGCCTCCCACCGGGGCGGCCTGCCGCCCGAGGGTATTGGACGGCGCCGACGCCCCCGCTCCCCACATAAGGCGGCACGGTTTAAAGCGTACCTACCAAAAACGATTGGGCTACAAGCTGCTATCCTTGGCGGTGCGCTAGCGGCAGCTAATCCAGGCAGAAGCAGCGGAGGTGGTCGGCCCCAGACCTGGCTTAAGCAGACCAGTGTGGAAGATATGGAAGCTAGCCCTCGTGCTAATCCTGTATGCCGGCCCGAAGAGGCCCGCCGAGTATGGACAACCTGCTTGCCGCCATATATGATGCCGCAGCCCACAAGCGCGCATCGTCGGGCTTAACACATAGCATCACCCCTGTGCACATGGCTGACTGGCGACGCGCTAGCGGGCTCTCTTCGCCCGTTGATGCGACGATAGTAGCCGCACTGACTAGAGCCAAAAGCGGCCCCTCAGTGATGCACTAATGGTGGCGATGGTGTTTTTAAAAGGGACATACAGATGAATACGCCCCTCTCTCTGTCCACGTCACACAAACACGAGAAGGATAACTTCCATGAGTCCCCGCCCGGATGCTCAGATCGGCAGTGGCTCTCTACGCTACCGCGCAGACCCAGAACAGATGAGTAAAGACTGCAACCTACAAGTTCATTCACCAAAAAGACACACGCCTACCCCAGCACACGCCCTCCAATCACTGGCGGATAGCTTTAATTGATGCCCGGTTGGTATAGAGCAAGAGGACCAGCCGCAGCTCAGACAAGGACCACCAGCGGCCCATCCACAGTGGCCGGATCACTCCCCAGGCCGCTGGAAGAGGCGTTTGTACTCAGGTGCGAGTAGAATGGAGACCTCACTGTGCGTCCCAACCGGAGGGTACTTCTCCGTGGCCAGCCGGTGCTTCTGCCCCCACCCTTCAATGACCCATGACGAAACGCCCTCCATTAGGTTTGCTGAAACGTATCCGGCCTCAGCACCAACGTCATAGCCGCTGGCAGCTGGGCCGCGGCATCGCTGGCCAGCGTATCTGACAGAAAGGCGACGCCCCGGATCCGAGCTGGCCGAGAGCACTGGCAGAGTTGGTGCGCGTCAAGCTCACCGATGCACATTTAGATTCCAGGCTCCCCACAGACCACATATCTATCATGTGGTAGGCCCGCCACCCTTCGAACGGAGTCAGGTTCAATTTTGAGCGGGAACCAACCCACAAACAAGATCCTTCCTGATGGTACGACCATGTACTAACTGAAGGTCACTGGACAGATTGTATTATTTGGGCCATAGGATGCAAGGAGACCGCCATGATACTCCACAACTGTATGTTATGATCTGAAAACTTGGCATGGAATACTGGGTCATTGCAACTATGGTGCTATTGAAAACTTAGAAGCAGTTGTAGATGGCATGAGAATCCAGGATAAAAGTCCAAACCAAACCAGTGTGAACACATGTCTACGGGAACATTTCCCCCAAAGCAGGAGCAGGGAGCAGCTGATCGCGCTCCAGCGCCCTAAGCGCTCCATTCCCTTCCCGCCCTGGGTGGACCCAACCCCCAGGTCACATGACGTGTCTAAAAATGCCATTTACCTTTACTGCTTGATTTCTCTGGTGCCAATTCTGTATACATCCCTTAAGAACAACAATTAAGGCCAGTTGCCGCACACCACCGCGTTCTGGCCGATCCCGCCCCATATAGAACGTTCACCAAAAACCTAAACCCGCCTAAGCTCAGACAATGGTACAGACTCCACGGTCTGGATGAGTTACGTCCCTGTTAAGGGACCACTACTCATCCCACCCGCGGAGGTCAGCCCCCCAACACCCCCCCCATCACCCAGGGACTGCGGAAGCACAGGGCACCTTATTTGAAATGGTGCGTTGCACCCCCCCCCCCCCCCCCCCCCCCCCCCCCCCCCCCCCCTTGTTGATAGAATCAGGCTTACCTACGGAGCATTGGCCATAAAGCAGCAAGGACGTGCTGTCATTAGAACAGGTGTTAAGACAGCGACCGGTGCAACGCCCCTATTTCTTATTTACCGGAAAGAGACCAGATTTTTCAAAGATGCAAAAAGTTAGGCTACAAACAGTCTGGTGAAGACGCACCCCGAGGCAGTATCGCTCCCACCGGGACCCCAGGGCCTCATAGTTGGTTTTGATCGCAGTTACCAGTTATATCCGAATTTATTTTCCAGAGCCCACCAGTTATGCCACACAGGACTGGTTCATTTCCCTAACTAGAGCGTTAGGCCGGCGCGACAGCCACAGCCATGACCCCGATCACCCAGGAGGGCCACTAGTGGGACACTGGGTACATTAGCACCACATGCAGAAAATCCGTCCCCCCCACCGATGAGAAAGCCCCCCCCAACCATATTTATCAGTGAACTAGACCAAGGAAGTGACACAGGCCTAGCTACACAGCCCCCCACCTCCCACAGGAAGCGTTAGCCGCGGACCCCCCTTCCTTGGCAGGCCTCTGCAAGACCAGTGCGCGCAGTAAGTTCAACTAAAGACTTCCTGTTATCGAGCTACGTTGGGTTTGCCACAGACCTACACAGAGGCACAGGCCTCACCCCACGCGACAACAGGAAGAAGGCCCTGAGGGATGGAAATGTCAACATATACAAGCAACTGACCTCCATATCTTCCACATGTCCGTTACCGGAGGGTACGACCCGGACCGAGGGGGGCCGGAGGTCAAGCACTCCACGGAAGATGTATAAGGGAAACGAGAACATTCACACAACGCTCGATTGTCGCAACGGGAAACGTCAGGATTGCGGGATGGACTAAATCGGACACGATTTCATCCGACCTGCTAATAAGAAACATTAGTGTGCTGATGCAGGGCTGGCCGCCCGCAAGACTTAACACTGAACAAATGGACGTTACAGGCCGCTTCCCCAAGATGCACCCGCTTGGACCCTGGAAATACCCTGGAACACCCACCGAGGTTTACCGGGCCTTAAGCCCCACACAAAAGGTCCCCACGGGTGTGCAAGTTTACTTCGAATTAGTCGCAACTCTGGCTACGAGCAGGGACTGTCCACGGCCTCTCCCCGGCTCCAGTTATGCCACAGATGTGACTGTCATCTTTGTGCCACGTAAGTCTTACGATGTGTGACGGACAATGATAATAAATGATGTACTCCCTTTATAATACTGTCGACGAGCCCGAACCCGAGTTCAACCCAGTGGAAACTTGCGAGACAATAACATAACCTTCCAGCGTTTGGCACCCACGCTCCTTCTCAGATAGCTAAATTCCTGACCGAATTGGTGGAGAATGCGCGGCACAGTGTGTGCCATTCACTGGATGTTTTGAGGGAACATTTCCTCTGTTTCTTTTTTTTGGCGAGTAGGGCGCCCACAAGAGTTCTCAGGCAGGGGCCGCCCTCCCAGCGGACGTGAAAGGGCTCGCTTTTCATTCGGTTGGGCTTGCTCTTGTCCCTCACATTCTCTGTTTTGTGTTTAAATCGACGCGGAAAAGATGTTGGTGTCTTATCCAGATCTCCCAATTCAAACTCTCATCACAGTCAATCTACACTGATGCTGCTGTCGATCTCAAGAACGATAAATCCTCTAGAGCGTATTATACAAGTCTCAAGCCAGCACACGATCATGCACCTTGCTCGACTTACCTCATTTTCTGTCCGCTTGTGTTACAACACCTAAGAGCATAGACTAGATTCTCTCTAGAGCACGTTTCTCTCTGACTCTATTACTCGATCGAAGACTAGCCTTGCGTAACACTCTAGCTCAGCGAATCACTGAGGACATCGATCGCCGACGTGGACCTCCATCAGCGAGCAGTACTTCGTCTGATCTGAGACAGAACCTCAGACGTCAGTGAGATCTAGCATAGTCTGCACTTCAACTTCTCACATTCTAGCGCGCGACGGGACTGGGTTGTTGGGTTATTGGTTGGGGTGTGGTTGTGGGGTAATGGAGTCATGGGAGTTTGGGTGATGGCGTTAGAGTGGTGTTGATGGGGGGTACATGGTAGTTGGGTGTTAGGGGTTATTATTGGGGTGGAAGTTGGGGGGAAAGAGGTGGGTATATGTTAAAAATAGAAGTTTTGGTTGATAGTTGGGTTTTTGCACACATATCATCTTCTCTCGTACTCTCGAACTCTGCGCACTCCGAGAGTATCAGTTCCATCTATCTAATACACAACAATCAATCTCAAGCACGTAATGCATGCGTGGACTATAGTGAGTCTATGACACTAATAGTAATTTCACAAGTAAAAAGCTCCTGTCAAACCCAGTACATGTTAATAATGCAACAATGGATATGGACAAAATTGTCGAAAACACAGTCGAATCAAACTTCACTTTCGAACACAAATCTCAAACAACAAAGCGTAGCTATCAGCACAAACATCACCAATCAGTCAATGCTCGAGAAACTAGCCGTCACACATCTCTGTATCTGGACAACACAATCTATACAAAAAACAGAAAAAATATAGTACAGAACAGCCCAACTCAGCTCTACACTTCTACATACACTCCAAACTCGTACTACGTGATGACTGTACCACCTATCTCAGTTCTGCTGAGTTAATAACAGTGAGCTAATTTACACAGAGCTTCAAAAACCACAGCATGCGAGTAATTACAAAGTCACGACTCTGCGAAAAATGCCATTAGGTGTCTTGTATAAGAAAAAGAGGTAAGGGGAGGGGGGGTTTAGAGGTGTAGGGAATAGGAAAGGATAGGGGGGTAGGGGGAGGGGGGGGGGGGGGGGGGGTGGGGGTAGAGAGAGAGGAAAATTAAGGGGAAGGGGAAAGGAGGATGGGGGAGATGAATATGTTATATTAGATTAGAGGGGGGGAGGGGGTGAAGGGTAACATGATGGAACAGCACACAGGGAAGGAGAACGATGGGATATATTGCTGAGTTGAAGAATAAGGTAGTGTGGAGCATATATGTGGCACATACTAGATGACTAAGGAATTGGGAAGACATGGGAGTACAGACATGTATTGTTAGCAGCTTCTTATAAAGATACAGATCAGCATGATAAAGTGTCTGGTGGGGCGCTAGCTATGGACTAAGCTGTGATACATGATAATATGGTGTGATGGGGGATTGTGGGGGGGGGTGAGTTTATCATATATTATATATCATCATATATCACTATCTCATATCTATATATGATATATATATCATATATCACTATCTGTATATATGGATCTCTATATATATATATATATCTCATAGGGGAGATCTAGGTTACAGGAGTCAGATTACACGGAGTACTGATCAGAGTAAGATTGATGTTAATGTCCTACAGAAGTGTCACGAGATGAGAGTTACGGTGGACATGAGTGATCAATCGACAGAGTGAATTATTGGAAGGCGGAGAGAGTGGAGATAGTGTGTGGGAGCGGAGCGAGGAGGAGGGAGAGTGAGTAGGGAGAGGAGGTGGGGGGGGAGAGGGGAAGGTGTAGAGGATGGGGGAGTGGATGTGGAGAAGGAGAGTGAAATGAGTGAGAGGAAGTGAGGAGAGAGAGTGGAGGGAGAGGAGGGGAGATGGAAGGAGTGAGGAGGGAGGGTAGGGAGGAGATACTATAAAAGCAAACAGTTCACACTATTAGAGGGTTGTTGCGTGGATGACGATCGACTATAAGTATGAGTTGTGGGCTGCTACAGAAATACACAGAGGTATTAAGGCACTGGTACACGGTCGAACATGTAGTAAGGGGGATGTGATAGAGCTGGCACGATTGGTATGGAGACATTGTCTCTCTCTTATCATATGTATTTGTGAGGAGGTATCTGTATGATTAGTGAGTTGGAGGAGATGAAAATGAAATTGGTTTATATTCAATATTGTTGGCAATGGGGGTGGTTGGGGGGGGGAGAGGGTATTAGATGGACGATGGGGTGGGGTTAGGAAAAGGATCCAGGCGCTTACAGTAGGGATAATAGTAAGTGTTAAGAGAGTGTATACATGAGAAGGAGGATTTACTTTGGGATGTAGATAGGAGGCAGAGTAACAGATAGACAGGTAGGATAGAGGGAGATGTGTATAGACAGACACTAGGATATACATATGTACTACAGGGGTCATCGTGCTGTCGGGACTATAGGATGTAGAAATCATATGCAAAGAGGATCTGCGAGATGGCTTCGAGAGTTAGGTTAGATATCTAGGAATAGGGGAGGCTTAACTATACAAAGATCTACATCTAGGGATGGACATAGTGAGGCAAATTAAATGACAAAGTGAAAGGATTCATGAGTATAGGATTAGAGGAGGTGTGAGATCTGTAAGGGACAGTGAGGGGACTAACGAGGGACTTATATAGTACAGATTGAGACAGGGAACAGTGACATGGGAGAAGGGTAGTATGAGTAGATAGGTTGAGAGATGCTAACAGAAGGTCTTGTATGATGGAGGGAGAGAGAGGGGGGGGGGGGGAGGGGGGGGGGGGGAGGGTGATGGATAGTCATGCTATGTGATACTCACAGGAGGTATAGTTGTAAGACAGGTAGTAGCGGATGACAGGTATGGACACACGCGAGTGCTTCACACTCAGACAGAGAGGGCTGTATAAGATTGACAGGTATACGTGTAAGTTCATGTTCTCATAGCTATCTTCTAATGGTTATATTCTAACGAGATACGTAGAACAAGATATCTATGACACGAGGAGGCTAACACGACAACATGATACAGAATGACACTGACACATTAGCTGATTTAGAGGGTAGACATTTTATTGTAAAGTACGGTAATGGAATGTATGAAAAGTGACTCATGGATATGGGAATCTATATTTATCTGGGAACAAGAGACAGGATTGTTTAGAGAGGGGCAGTCAACTAGGACTAGGGATTAGTACACGGGTATACTAGGGTGTGAGATGAGGGTAGGAAGTCAGGGAGTGAGACACATGGTAAGACACAAAGAGTAGTATGGGTAATGCGTCATGGCATGACCAATCGAGAATAGAAGAACTAACATGAGGGACACTGACGTGATCAATAGGTAACATATGATCAGAGTGTATGGTTAGATGAGAAGGCGCAGAATTGGAAATGGGGGCGTAGATGGGTATTAAGAGGAGACGTAACATGACACATGATATAATGCAATGGAACAAATGCAGACACAGTGGGGGAACTGACACGACGTAAATGACACACACTACATGTGATGAAGGGCACAAATGGTATGTTGGAGTGGGTGGAGGGGTGTCTGTGGAATTGAAATAGGGATGGAGGTGTGAGGAGTTAACTGACAACGTTAAGATGTAAGAGATGAGGAGGGGACAAGCGGTGGGCACTAAGAGACATGTTGGGTGATACTGGGATGACACATTAATAAGTGAGGGAGCAAGAGAATTTAATATGGTGGTACTATTACAAGGTTAAAAAACAAAACAACACACACCAGTAATTGGAGTAAGAGGGTATGTGGTGGATGGAGGTGTAGGTATTTTAGGGAGATTTGATTCGAGTGGATGGGTTGGAGAGAGAACCTAGAAGTTAAGGGTGTTACGGGAGGAGTGATATATGTGGAGAGGGGGGAGGGGGGAGATTTTGAGATGTTGTGTTATGTGGTGGGTGGTGTGTGAGTATGTGTACTGATTGGATGTGTGTTAATTTAAATATATGGTATGATTTGGTAACTTTGGCGGAGTAAGGGACAGGTTTGGGTGGGGTGGGATTGTTGGACGGGATGGGGTAAGGAGGGGTGAGATGTAATTGTGAAAGACGGGTTTAATAGAGAGTAGAAAAGAAAGATTAAGTGTTGAGGGGGGTAGATGAGAAGAAAAGAGTAAAATTTATAGGAGAGAAAGTAATATAGAAGAGGGGGTTAGAGAGAAAAAAGATAACAGATGTTAGAGAGATAAAAAGAATAAGAATGATTAGAGAAGTGAGAGAACAAATAGATAAGATGTTAAGAAGAAAAAAGATAAAGAGGGGTGGGATTAGAGAGAAAAAAAGAAAGAAAGATGGATAGAGACAGAAAAGGAAAAAAAGGAATAAAGGAGGGGTTAGAGAGGAAAAAAGATAAGAGATGGTTAGAGACACACAAAAGATAAAGATGGTTAGAGAGAAAAAAAAATCAAGTATATGAACAGAAAAAAAGATAAAAAGATGGTTAGAGAGGTGAAATATTTGTAAATGAAAAATAAGGAATGCAGAGATGAGTAACTAAGAGAGAATATATAATTAAAGAATAAGATGGTATTAGAGATCAAAAAGAATAACTAAAAACGGGGGTTATTGAGAGAATAAAGAGATAGATGGTATTAGTTTTTATAGGTCACATGGAATGATGGGGTATAGCTGACCAAAGGTCAAAGTCGATCGAAAACATACAACAAAAAATTCACCTAGACATTAATTGCAAGAAAACAAATTTAGCGGACAGTACAATTTAGGATAAACTATTTACTATGGTGTGGGTTCTAGGTTATATATGCAGTAACTACGCTCTCAAATACATAATTTCCTAATCTGAATTCCCCATATTCTGTGACATAACCACTCCCGAAACTTAAGCACGTTTCTCCCTCAAATACAAGGAACAGAGTCTTGACGGGCACTTTTCTCCTAGCATAGGCACCCACGTGATGAACAAAATATAAGCTAACATCATGCTAACCCATGCATTCAAAATAAAGAAATCCCGATACCACGACCATCATCAAAAATACTTTTGAAGCATGATAAGTAAACTAGTAATAAAACAACCCAACATACGTAGTTGAAGCACGACTTTACGCACTTAACAGGCTACATCCTATGCAAATGATCGCTCCTTTTACAATAATCCCTAAGCATGACGCAATGTGACTTAGCTAAATAAGCTAATGCCAACATTAAAGGTAATGGACGCTACGCTACCCTAGATCCATGCACAGCAACATCGAACATTAGTTTAAACCCTCAAGTAATCGCGAATAAAAATGAGAAAATCTACCGCACTAACCCTTGACTTTAACAGATGCGAATGTACTAACGCTAGCTCCTTTGCTATTGTAAGTAACAAAGGGGGGTGGGGGGTTTTCGCGTCTCTCGGCTGGACTCGGGCGCGTCTAGGGGGCCCCTGATGGACCAGAGCAATAATTAGCCTATGGCAGATAATAGCTCTCCATACTCAGATTATGGTCAACAAAACATGCATAGTCTATGTAATCAGCCAGATATTATCTAGAAAATCTAGACTACACAGTAGTAATTTCATCCACCGAGCAATATGTGCTCACCACATAACGTATACAACATCACAACTTCCCACTCCCCCACACCTCAGAACTCTCTCCCCCCCACTCTGGAACTCCTCTCCTCCCCCACCCTCAAGGAACTCTTCTCAGCCCTCCCGTGCATCACTAGCTCTGGACACTCTCAGACCTCCCCCCCTCACCTCAGGAACTTTACCTCCTCCCCCCTCCCCTCTGGAACTCTCGTCCCCCCTCACCTCAGGAACTCTCTTCCTCATCCCCCTCACCTCAGGAACACCGTCTTCCACTCCCCCCTACGCACCTCTCAGGAACTCTCCCCCCATCACCTCAGAACTCTCACTCCCCCCTCACCTCTGAACTCTCTCCATCCTTTCTCCACCCTCACCTCAGGAACTCTCTACTCCCCCTCACTCTTGAACAACTCTCACCCCCTCATCCATCAATGACTCTCACTCCATCACACCCCCTCCCTCTGGAACTCTCTCCCTTCAACCCTTCACACTCAATGAACAATCTCTCCACCCTAGCCCCTCTGGAACTCTTCCCCCCCTCACCCAGAACTCTCTCCACACCTCACTCTCTGGAAACTCTCTCCCCCTCACCTCAGAACTCCCACCCCCCCTCCCCTCAGGAACTCTCTCCCCCCCTCAACAGGAACTCTCACCCCCCTCACCTTCAGGTGAACTCTCTCCCCCCCTCGACCTCAGGAACTCTCTCCCGCCCCACTTCTACCTCCTGGAACCTCTCTCCCTCCCCTCCATCTCTGGAACTGTTGGTGATTCACTAAATCTCCTTCAAAAAATAGCTAAAAACACAACCCTCATACCTCCAAACATCCGACTCATTTCCTGCTTTTTTAGATTTTTTTACAATTTTGTGTGACTGTCTAAACCGTGTGATGTGTGTGTTGTGTGGTTTAAGTGATCCTGTCATTGTGAACACGGAAACTTTGCTGTTTTTATATTTGAAAAGCGCTGTATACAACCAATGTGTATAAAATTAGCATATAACTTATCTATATTTTAAACTGACGATGGATGTTATTTTACCATGCACTGTAAACCCTAACCAGAAAAAAGGTTTACTTTAGAAAAAACCTTTAGGTGGAAAATAAATTGCATATTAACTTCACCGTTGAATAATTACTTCGAGTATCATCACGTTACACTTGTATATTACCAAGTAACTCAAGCGATTGTAAAAAAATAAATTTTATAATTTGCAGCCCGAGCCAGACGAGTCGAACGCTCACATACTTGTAAGAACCCTTGAGATGTGTTGGAGGTGCTCCCCACTCAGCAACACATGCTGCCTTGCCCCATTTCACCCCGTTCTTATTTAACCCAATACACGTCAACATGTCAAAAGTGTAGGCTTACTTGAACAGAGACAGTTATACATTCAATCGAAACCCTTACGTGATTATCGCCAATCTTAAATAAGCCCCTCACAATAAATGAGTAAATCCCCTTACATAGGGAAACAATCTATTTACAATAACTTGATATCTGAAGTACGCTTGAAGTTAAGTTTTACAGTGTGTGTTATTGATCTGGTCCTAACTGTGGTTTTGTTTCTACCCGTTAGTATATTGTTTTGACATACTTTACCCATTAAGAATCCTTCCCTTGATTAAAGTGGATCAAACCTCTGTAAGTAGGACACATGAAGAACACAAATAAACCGTTAAAAATCATCCATCAAATACAAAACATAAACACAGGATTTACTCGATCAATACATGCATCCACACAGTTTTACAGGAGAAACAATACATCACAGAATCACTACACACACACACACACACACACACACACACAATTACAAATGATATAGAATGAAATAGATCGAGAGCTTGTACTTCCACTTTACAATTTAAAGTATTGACCTTTACATCAAGAGAAACTTAAACTTCTGAAGCCCAACCTAGCTTGTCTGTTATTTATCACACAGTAATGGTATCAGGGATAAATACTAATCCTGTAGAACGTAAAATGTCTGACACGTGCACTTTGATTCATTCATTCACTCGAAGATGCTGGCGCAGTATCCCTCATCGTCTTTTAAACGTGGACGACTGGACCGTCTACAAACTGCAACCTTAGAAAGTGGCCCTTTACAGAATGTACGAAACGAATATAAAAACGGTATATAAATTTAGGTCATCAGTTTCCTCAACGCGCTGGGCACAACTGACCGAATCCCCAAAGACATCAACCACTCGAGTGAAGGGTTTTGATGACTGAGATCAACACGTTCAGAAAAGGCGACGTCATTGAACCAGTATCTAAAAACCAGCGACGTGGAGGAGCAGATCAGACAATTATGACACACCCATGAGAATCGAGAGGCCAGTGGTGCTGCTGCATTCTGGTTTACCGCCTTGTGTTATTCACCGTTAGAAACCTGTTGTTACCTAAGAGATAGCCCTCTGAGCGTCCGAGGCTCAGTTTTTTGTGAAGATTTATAAAGCCGAAGGTCTGCCCGAAATAGTCCACCATCATGGCCAACGTCCATCCATAAGTCCTAAGTGATCGGAGACCAGTCGCAGCTCTCATTGACCCCTTTGTGCAGTCCGCTTCTTCAAACAAGTGGTCAGTCTCGTTTCCACGTTTCTTTATCGTTGCGATGACTTTTATTCAAATTCATGTGTTTTGTCGAATTTGAGGGCGTACTTCCACTACAGGCGGTCCTCGGCTATCCGTTTGGAACGCAGCAGAATTGTCCTTCCACGCGAGTCAAATGTATTCCGCCGCTGTGGTCAAAGATATGTAAAGATTCAGTTGTGGCTTTGCTCAAACAAACCTGAATTTTGTAAAATGGAATATTGGCCTCATTCACGAACGTTCTAGGAACAGAATTTGTACGTAAATCCTAGTTACGCGTTTTTTACGAAGAAAGTGGGCATTCAGAATATTTCTTCGTAACCAGAATTTTCTCTGGCAAGTACAAATCCTACGAGTCATCAGGAGCACTCGAACGCATTCAGTGCCGACATGTTCAACAGCCCGGGGTTGCTCCCATGCTGCTGAATGCACCGTTGAAGAACAAAATACTCCGCCTTTCAACCCACGTGATCTCTGTCTCAGCCAGAGAGCACACAACATGCCGAGAGCGATCAAATCTACAATTCACATATCTCCCCAGGTCTCAGAGTCATCAACAGTTGGAGTACTCTTCTATATCTTACGTAGTCACCAGTGAGTCAATATATCTCTGACTTATAAACACCGGCCTTTTTTCACCATGAGCGGTGCATCTCTGCATTTCTTTCTGCAGACTGTAACGATTCTGAGGTTAAGATCCAGTAGTGCAAAAGTATAAGCCAAGTCAGGGCGATTTCACTACTCACCTGCGTCATCGTGCGTATCAGAAGAAATCGAAATCCATCATGATATTGGATTATTGTCTTTCACATTGAATGCAATAAATATGATGCAATCAAACAACTTAATAATGAGAATAGTACTGCGATTACTACTGAGATACTCACACACGCGTCTGTAGCTAAATTACATAAAGCTTTACAGCGAATTGTGCTGATAAAATTAGCTCATATGAAGATACGACACGCTAAGCGTCTTTTCGATTTAGGGGCTGGGGTTCAAATTCCCAACATTGACCATCCACATAAAATAACACTTTCACGACATGCCGACACTCTCGATGTAAGGACGCAGTACGCGACGTAACAGCACAACGTTATCGAAAGCCCTCTTCTAATCAGATAGGGATGTCCATGCAATTATCTTTGTCAGTTCCTGTGCCCATCACATATTCTATGAAAATTACACTATTGCATACATTTTGTGTCTACTTAATAACAAACACACAGCGCGACAGGCTCCACAGCAAAACCTCTGCATGAGTGCGCGACCATATAGACACTGGTCTATATCAAATCAAAAATACTCATAGATCGACCACATAGAACCTTATTACTACGCACTCTCTCCCTATCCTACTCTCAACATCGAGATTCCACACACGGAGACCCTCACAAGAGAGTCATCGATTGTTTAGACATATTAATCTTCTTACTTACTCTTCTAGAGCACCTCTAACATAGCCACTCAACCCCCTTGGCGTGAGTGCGACTCTCTGATTGCTACCTTTCACAGTCAAAAGCATGATGTATCTTATACATGTAGCATCCCTTTCATGTCAGTATCCTCAGAGCTACTTCTCAGATGGAGAGCTTTATTCACAGTGTCGAGCGAGACCCGAGACTCTGTTACATGCGATTTGACAATATACAGTTACACTAGTGATCTCTCTCTGTATTCTAAGCGGTGCAAAAGCGATCACATATTTGCGGTAAATACAGTATTTACACTCATAGATCATATTTCGTCCAATGTTCAACTAAGTACACTCTGCTTGAGCTACGATGCGAATGATCGGCCTAACAATCTATAGCTCTCACACTGTATACGACAAGTACCTTCAATGGTACTATGTATCATCTTGCATCGGAGCGAAGCATCTGAGCATGATCATCGTCATTAGACAAAGCGGGAGGAGAATCCTCTGGGAAAACAAACCACACACACACACACAGAGCGTAGAGAGGTCAAATCTAATGATCGCGAATTCAAATAAGCGTACAAGGAAGCACTCGAGCATCCAGACGGCCTGCGAGCGAGTTGAAGTGACGACCGCGAGCAATAAGATCGAGCATTTACACACATGATGTTTCGAAGGATAACAACAGCATAGAACCAGTCGAAAAGCGAGTAGTAAAATACGAGCAGACATAGTACAAAGGGAGCATGACTACCAACTATATAATACAGAAACGAAATCCGCGCGTTCAGCAAATGAATAATGAGTCTCAGAATTGCGCGTAGCCTGCGAGCTAGCGACACGTACCATGATACTAAGGCCTAGCGTGAAGTTGGCCATGATGGTGAACTTTTCGTGAAGAACTTCGGCTTTTAGTAATCTTCACTAAAAAAACTGAGCACAACGGACGCTCAGAAGGGATATCCTTCAGGTAACAAACAAGTTCTACGGTGAAAACAAAAAGGCCGTAAAACCAGAAAGCAGCAGCACCACACGGCCGCTCGATCTCTGGATGGGCATATCAGCGTCTATTGAACTATCAATAATGTCAAAGGCCTCACAACGTTCTGCATGAGTCGTCTTTACAAGAACTGCAATCACATAGATACGGAACCCTCTTCACTCCTGAGGACGCATGACTCAGTCTCACAGTGATTACACGTGACAACTGCCACTTCACAATCCGAGATGATTGACAGCTCGCTTAGAGGGGCTCACTGTACGCGCTCAGCCAAAATCTTCAGTAGCACTTCATATTATATAGTGTGACGTTCTCTCGACATTCGAACTGAATCGACAACTGACTAGCGGATCAGTACCTCAGCGTTTCTAAATATCACAGGCTTCAGCGTACATTCTGTCAAACAGGAGCCAGCACATTGATAACTATGGTTAGTTTCAGTTTTACAACGAGCTCCCATACGCTCAACAGTCTAGCATAACACTGAGTCACCGCAAGGACAGCTTGCTGCATCCAACATCTTCGATGTATGAGTAGTATGATCACGATGAACCACAGAACTTGACGAGAATTGTCAGCGTGGAGCATGACTCGTTACACGCTTCACTAGATGCAAGGATATCAAGTATTATACCCTAAGAAGCAACTCTAGGAGTATCAAAATATACAGACACAGACACTATAATCAAGACAGTTCGTGGGCTTGCTAATTATTATACCATGTTCTCTAACAGGATAGTCAAGATTTCTCACAGCTTGTGATGCGTACACTGTACCTTGATCTACTTTATAGGTCGCAAGATGGACAGCTCTACTTCCTACTTTATTATACATAGGTTGCTTATATTGCTTTTTACCGAATTCTGAGTGATGAGATGACAGTGCTGATGTGTCTGACAGTGACAGAGCTGGTGTAGTGCTTCTATTCTAACAATGATGTCTTCGAATATTTCAAAGATCCTTTCTAACACCAGTAAGAACATTATATGATGTCGACACTCAATTCAGTGTACACAATACGATATTATATTCATTTACTACTATCAGTAGCTCTAATGGGACTGGTGGATTGAGATTCTTCTTTACTGATCACTGTAAAGACCATTTGCGCTGATCGAACTAGAGCTTCTCACAAACAATGAGTGATGCATTCTTCTGCCTAGGGAAGTACACTCATCCCTTTATCAAGTGAGAGATGAGCTTCTTTATGTGTGCAGAGAGGATAGGATGCAAATACAAAATGACTGAACGGTGAGAACAAAAGACAGCAGTTAGTGACGCATGAACAGAGAGACGGATCTACTCTCTGAGAGAACACGGTGAGAGCGATAAGAGCGGAGGAGCGAGAGACGAGAGAGGAGAAAAGAGTTATAGTCTCATATATCACAAAGAGCACAAGTCTTCTATCGACAGATGAGAATGACAGAATCTCATTACATACTCCACTCGATATAGTGACAAGACACTATCTTGAAAGACTTAGTGTTCTAATGCGAGCGACACATGCCAGGGGTGTTCTCGACAGTAGATTTTGTGAGGAATCTAGCACTGAGCTCATACTAGTATATAAACATCAAATTAGGAGGATCTTTTGACCAACGCTGTATATAGGTTTATTTGATGAAAGGGGTGAAATGGGCAAGGAAGAATGGTTTGTGTGTATCGCTTACATGGTTGTATAGAGTGAAGCGAGATCTTAATCCATAAGCTCAGACTGCATGAACTGAGGTGAGATCTCGACCGACCTCGATCGGATTCTGATAGCAACTTGTTAATGTTATTGCTAATCTGCTGCGACAGTGTACTCTTTTCACACATGGATCAATAAGTCAAGTTAAACATCGTCTTCATAGAGTATCATATATTCATGGATTTTAGAAGTTCTCCAAGACACACAGTGCTAAAAAGTCGATAGTTATCTACATCTGTCAAATGCAAGTATACTAGCATTAATGGAGTTTTCTACACTTAGAAGTCTATGAATAATCTCTAAGTACACTAACACACTAATCTTCCATATATCTACATGATTAATAATGACCCATTGGCATTCATAACCTGCAACTTTGAACAAGAGAAAACATTGTATCTCTTCACGAGATGGTACACACGATCTTAACGAGTCAACGGACCCAACATAACTAATCAACATTAGCGTCTCAGTTAGCCAAGAAGGCTTTTAAGGTGTATGCATGTGTATCTTGTTCTTCTCTAAATATATCTTAAATATTCTTAATATAGATGCAGCAAATGAGTCCGCGAGATGTGTATGTGGAGTAGTAGAGAGAAGCTGTACTCTCTGTAGGATAGGTATGTTGAAGGGTGGTTTTTGCTGTGTTTAAATGGACAGAGATTGTGGGGGGTAGAGTAGTTAAAAGGTGTGGGGGGAGGTTAGTTAATGTGGTGGTATGGGGGGTGAGAATTGGTAAGGTGGATGACGTGGGTGAGTCAGGAGAGTTCACATTGAAGAGGTGGTGCAGTGAAGAGGAGCGTAGACGCGGTTCATGGCAGATACGATAGATTGTGAGGGAACTAGAGTTCGCTGACTAATGAATGGTTCTGTAAGGTGAGTTGATTGTTACAAGTGGACAGAGAGGGAGTGGAGAGAGTTCGTAGTGAGGACCGCAGTAGAAGGTACACACGTAGGGGTAGATACCGGGGAGATAGTTTGCACTATTGTGAGTGGTGAGACGGGCAAGGATAGAAGGTAGACACAGTAGTCAGTGGTAATTAGAGAAGTAGGGGAGAGGGGAGGGGGGGTGGTGGGGAAGGGGGGGGGGGGGGGGGGGGGGGGGGATATATTCTGTAGAGGTCGAGAGAGAAGTTGACACATGATGAGTGCGGTGTGTATAAGTATGATAGGAATGCAAAGGAAAGGGAAGGATGGACATGTGGGGGGTGTATGGTGAATGTGGGTGAGGGGGATGAGTGGGAATGAGGTAGAGGCGGGCGGTGCAAGAGCGACACACAGACATGTTGAAATGAAAATAAAATGCAAGAAGGAAGGAAGAAATGTGATGAAGCCTAGAGCAGTCTGGCTGAATGACGAATGACAGTCAAGATGGCCTGAGGAGCGTAGCATGAGAAATGTGAGCAGCAGTGTTGTCAACAACAAACGGGGTGTGGGGTGAGTGTGCATGAGGGTGGGGGGTTGTAAGGACACAAAGTGTAGAGAATGGGAGTATGTAGACAGGCAGAAGGTAAAATGAGCTGTGTACATTACGGGAGACCAAGTAGTTGCCATGGTAGTGAGACACTAGAAGAGTTATCGAATGCTATGGGTTGTGACCGATGAGTGGAACGAGAGAGGGAGAGATAGTGCAAGACGTGGAAGTCTGTGGGGGGTAATTGAGTGACATGAGCGTGTAGGAGAGAGAGAGAGGGATCTACCTGTAGGATCTAATGACAATGGTAGTTTGGTAAGTAGATTGTTGCACTACAATGCGCTGTGAAAGGGGCGAGAGATAGCATATGAGTCTGTCGAGGTAACAATGTATGTAGTGGATAACGAAGAGAGAGTGTCGTCGCTATAGAAAGATCTGGCGGGGATGAGAGAGATCACAGTCTACTCAAGAAGTGAGAAGGGCGGAGAGAGGAGCTTACGAGGCGAGTCGGACTCTGGACGGTCGAAGAGAGTAAGATGATATGACATCTCAATGCATAGCAAGGGAGTGGGTAGAGTCAGTCTCGATAGCAGCAGAGGGAGACAGGGAGTAAGGGTAGAGTTATACGCATCGAATAGAGAGAGTGTGGGTGACAATGTGTGAAAGCAAAAAAGCGAGCGAGAGAGAAGGGATTTAAGATAAATAAAGGTCTGGTATGAGCAATTAGTAGGCAATAATAACGACACAGATCACACAACAGACAGAAAATGGTTGGACTAGAGCAGTAGGGTATCGTACGAAGTCTCCGAGAGGTTGAGAGGTGAGCTGTAGTTATAACTAGTGTAATGGTAGGGGGGAGTAGTGATACATGTAGGGATATATTTCTGTGTATGAGCATGCGTGAGATTTTGGAGTACATCCTGTGATAGTAAGGTGAGGCAGTGAGAGGCGAGGAAGAATCTGCAGAAGAGCATAATGTGAAGAGTGAGTATAGTGAGCAAGATACATAAAGAGTATAGTTAGTAGCGAATATAGGGAGCGGAAGTGAGATTCATCCTTTAAGATGAAGTAAAGGACAACGGAGTTAGTGTGACTCAAGAGAGGTGTATTGAAGTAGGGTAGGTAGAATTGCACATACGGGACACAGCAAATGGTGAGTGGGCGACTGAAGGGAATAGAAGTGAGTCGGGAAGACAAGTAGTTCGAGGGAGAACTGTAGTGAGGCGTGACATTACAGATGATTAACTAACATGAGGGAGACGGGGAGAAGTACGATGGGCAGATGGGGTGAAGGGGGTGAGGGGGAAATGTGGTTAGGGGCTGAGAAGAGATTACATTGAAACACAAGGTAATAGGGGGTGTGAGTAGTGAATGAGGGGGTGGGGGGCGTGAGTGGGAAAGGTGGGTGTGGGGTATAGTAGTGTGTAATGTGGGAGGGGGGATGTGTTGGTTTGAAGAGAGAGCAGAGGCTCAGAGAAAGAGTAAGAGAGAATGGGATATATGCAAATTTAGTAAGAGGGATGATATTGTGTAGGAACAGAAATATAGAGGATGATGTGATGGTGGTTGATGACACTTGAGAAGATTTCACACAGCTGAGATGTTGAACTGGGTAAGGGAGGGTGAAGCAAGTATCACGATCCTTATAATGAAGGACGATGTACATTGTGTTTTATATAAAATTTTAGAAGTTATGGATGTATTATGTAATAGGATATGGTAGTTAAAGTGATATTTGAAATTGAGAGTGTGGCGGGTTATCAGATACGTTTGCCGGAGTGTGGGGGGGGGGGGGGGGGTGGGGGTGGGGGTGGGGGAGAGGTGGGGGGGGGGGGGGGGGGGGGTGGGGGGGTGGGGGATTTGGGGGGGGGGGGGTGGGGGGGGGGGGGGGAAGGGGGGGGGGGGGTGGGGGGGGTGGTGGTGGGGGGAAGGGTGGGTGGGGGGGGGGGGGGGGGGGGGGGGGGGGGGGGGTGGGGGTGGGTGGGGGAGGGGGGGGGAGTTGGGGGGGGGGGGGGGGGGGGGGGGGGGGGGGGTGGGGGTGGTGGGGGGGGTGGAGTTGGGGGGGGGGGTTGTGGGTAGTGGGGGGGGGGGGGGTGAGAGGGTGGATCTATTATATATTGGGGGGGGGGGGGGGGGGGGGTGGGGGGGGGGGGGGTGGGGGGGGGTATCTCTATTATTTTTTTAGTATATCTATATGGTATATATTTATATACTATCATAGATGACAGTGATGTGGGTCTTGTGGGAGATATGGGGGTCGTACAGAGGAGTTGATGGGTGGACAGATGTATATGGTGGTAATGATGTGGTGTATTGTACGAGATGGGGATGATGTTCAGTATCACTTAGTAGGGAGCTAAGGATAGTGATCGATAGTTATAATAGAGACACTAAAGATTTAGAGAGGTTGTGGTGGATTTATAAGAACAGGATTGGAAGATTATATGACTGACGTAGGTGAAGTATGTTAGCGATGGGTAAAAGTGTGATAGTACAGTGGGGTGGGAGGGAGATGTGCATGAAGGTGGTGATAGGCTCTGTTTAGGGGGTGGGGGAGATATAGGTTTTATCTATGTTGGGATAGGGTTCGTGGTTGGATTACATACACTGGATAGAGGAGGTGTCTGGAGGAAGTGTACACTGGAATTGTGATGGTAAGGTCTGAGCGTGGGAAAAGGTGATGGTATAGCTGAGGGACAAACTAGAATAGGTAGGTCTGTATAAGGATGGTGGTACGGAATCGGGGATGGGGGTTAGGGACATGGTCTCATATAGGATGAGGAGGGCGAGTGTGGTGTCTTTTAATGTAGCGGGTATACTTGGGTAAGGAGTTGGGTTTCACAATGGTGATGGTGGTATTGTGATGTGTGAACATTGTGATGACCATGTAAACACTATCACGACGGGAGATGTAAAAAGAAACAAATACATAGTGGACACGTCAATGGGGAGATCATTGGTCAACGTGATTGAACAGACGGCTGGTAAGATATGGTGGAATAGAAGGGTTTCAATGAGAGAGGGTATCTATATATACATAAACAATGTGGAATTGTTGTTTTGATCAGTGTAATGGAGACTTGATCGGACGATCGCGTCTGAGTCGCGTAGGTGAGAGGGAGTGGAGATGTGTGTAAGTTGGTTTGTGAGTACTTTGAGAGAGCTAGGGAGCAGGTTTGCGTGTAGTGTGGAGGGGTGGTGGTAACTATAAAGTGAAAATGGTGTTGGCACATTGTGTCGTATGCGAGTACGTTGTAGTGGTGTCGAATTCACAGTTCTAGTGGATGTTGTGCAGAGTGCTAGAAATAATAACAGAGGTCTAGTGCTAATGATAGACGAGAGATAAGCCGATAGGGGGTATGAGAGCATTAGAGGGGTTCAGACATATTGAATAGGGTGTGTACGTCATTAGTGAGGAGACAGCGAATAAGGCTATAATGGGTAGTGTGGGGATGGTGGTGACGGGACAGATAACTGTGATAGTAGGAGATGGGAATGGTATAGACAATAGAGGGAGAGTTATGAGCGGTAACATTCACAAGAGAATAATGGACGTTTGAAGGATGAGAGAGCATAATGGAGGTGTAGACATAACTGAGGTAAACAAAAGATGAAAGTAAGAAGTGAGAGTTGGACCACACAAGCCAGCGTAGAGCAGTACTAATTAGAGACAAAACTATAGATGACTACATAAAGAGGAAGGCGAGTGGGGGAGAGGAAGAAACATGGTAGTGTAAAAATTAAATACACACTCAGGGTGTGATGAAACAATTAACTATAAACTGATGCATAAATAAATTTGGGAAATGTACTATAGAGAAATCTGGAGATAATTTATATAATGTGTGGGTATAATTTTATAAATGATTAAGTTAATGGCAATGGTCTTAACCAACTATAGGTATAGAACACATGAGGATGCGATCGATAAGATAACTAGCTACAGAATAAGTATGTGAGCAACTTAAGAGTAGAAAGAGCTGATAATAAGAAGTAGAAAGGTTCAGTCAAAAAAAGGGTGGGTACAAAGAGACTAGTTGTGGAACGGGACACAAAGACAACTGTATTCATCGTTCTCTTGACTATTCGTATAGAAGAGAGTTTCATGTTAAATTATTTCTGGAAAAAAGAGTATATTACTTGTGTTAATGACTGAGAGGATAGACAAAGACAGTATTACGTCATTTGGTCTAGACATAGGACGGAACGAAAAGATGGTTTGGAAATGGTGTATGGCCTCTAAGTCATATAGAGATTACGTCTAGAGAAGCAAACTCTATCTTGATACATTATATGATGAAGGTAATAGGGATTGTGGGTATTTTGAGGGGAGCGATGTTTTTAGATTAGGAATTTAAAATTTTGTGTTAGTGTTTTTTGTAAGGAAAGGATAATGAAAAGAACTTGGGAATTGTAATACGACAAAGATAGTTGCAAATACAGGCTGAGAAGTTCAAGATGTAGAGTATTGATTGAAGTGTGGTGATGGAGACAGATAAGATAGACTAAGATTGACACAAAGAGATGAGTGATACTGAGGACGACTAGTATAAACAGTTGGTAACAGCGATGGTCATACGTCACATTGAATGATTGCATCATATCTCTGCACAGTGCAGGTGGGAAGAGGGCATTTCAGTCACTTAATCCACTAGAACGGACCGCAGCGGCTCTGCTACCGTCATAATACACACTGCGACGTCTAAGAGCGCCCTAGACTCATTAGAGATCTTCCGGTAGGAGACGTCAGGAGAATGATACGGAAATAGAGGAGACGGGAGGTGCATGAAGAAGGTATATTAAATGCATCGGTCAGTCTCGTACGCAGCTGCATGCATCTCAAGAATAGTGCGGATCGTCGGCGCGACAACCTGTCGAGGCCCATCAAATCTGCGAGTCAGGTCATGTTACTAGGGGGTCCTCACAAGATCTGGTCGCGTGGGTGGTAGACTCTCTCCCCCTCATCAGAGGTCGGGCGTGTCCCTATAAGACGCGTGCTGATTGTCCCTCTTACCCCGGGGCGGACTCTCTCTCGTATCCCCCTCAACACAGGGGCGGGTCTGCCATCTCTCATCGGACAGCGCGGACATCCATCTACGGACGGTCCCAGGAGCTTCCCGCCTGCGTCTCATCTAAATTTCATACGGTTGGAATCAATACGACTCACTCACTCATCTATCGTCTCCTCACTCGACTCTACAGGCACCTCTCCGGAGACTCGTCTCGACCACACGATGCGAGCTCTCGTAATCTCAGATCACTGCAGCGCATGGCTCGAGCTCTAGTTGCGGTCATACCTCAGTCGATGCTAGTGCTCCGCGACTTACGCTCGTCGTTCTCGACACAGTCTGGTGCGACTTAGCTATGGTTAGGACTCAGGGGCTCTAGACTTACGTCGTCTCTGCCTGCTCGGTATCTGAGCTACGAGCGACGTCGGTTCTCTCTCCCCGAGGCTCATCTTCTCTAGTACTCAAAAGCCGCTCGTCGAACTGAGCTGCGAGCTTCGCCCACTCTCTGTCTGGCAGCGCTCTCCTCGTACTCACAGTGTCTAAGCGTCATGCTTTCGACCCTCGACTTCGGTCTCGGACTAGATGTCTCTATGGTCGTCCCGTGTCTTGCTCACTCGGAGAGATTGCAGACCAGGCGATCAGGCCATCTATGCTTACGTATGCTCACCTCGTCTCTACTAAGTGTGACCTCTCTATTTCAAGTCACTGCAGCAGCAATCCACCACGACTCAGTGACTTCTCTGATCTCATCATATCCTGCATACTCGTCGTCTCCTTACAACAACACCACTTATGCTACTCAATAATAACAAAAACACAGTCTCCTCTCACAAGTACATTTTCGCCTCAGCATCTAGCGAGCCTCAACACTCGCCCCCTGATCGCCTAGTCGCTATGAGCATACAAGAGGGAGGCCCTCACACCAACTACTCTCGAACAATAGTATCCCTCCGTGACTCTCAAACTACACAGCTCGAACCCTCGACAGCTCTGCAGTCTACCTATGTCCATCGCATGATTATTCATTTGACGATCATCAAACCAATCGTCAAATGTGTCCAGCTTCGCCTCGCGTTTCTTCTCTAGAGCCCATAAACTCTGGTGCACAAGCTCCACACTGCAGCGCTAGCTCATTCGTGGACACCTGCTACTTCGTCAGCATTCTTGATACACTCCACAACCATAATTGCAACAGAATGGGCAATCTTCATAATCATGTCATCGCCTCGAACGCAGTCTCTGACACTCGACCTCATACTACACCCCCACGTTGCTGGATCGAAGTCGAACTGGCGCTGTCACCTCTCTCGTCTCCACCAACGCGTCTCACTCGACACTCGTCACCCCACCAGTGCCACTCTCGGGTTCGTCTCAGTCGCGCGAAAACGCGCCTCTGCGGACTGCTGACGATATCCAATCTGGCTCACCATTGTGCCAGCGTCTCTAGTCAGCCGTGATAATCCAGCTTCACTCGTGCATCTGATGGATCAGTAAGGTTTCCATCAGTGTCTACACTACGTGCTCTCTCTTGTCATCTACCCCTGGACATCTGCGTCTCTGAGGATTCTGTCTCGACTCCGCTATACGGTTCCTAGTGTACATCGCTGTCTCCACGCTCATCTAGTGCTTCTCATGGGATCACCTCGTCATCATCGCTCAGTCTTTCATCTGTACTACCTGGGTGATCTCCAATCCAGCTAGTCTTCTCTGGAGCGATCTACTTTTGTGGTCCTTACTCTCCGTCAGCATCTCTGTTCTCTAGTCTACAGCTGTTCTGAGCATCCAGCGTTCATTGCAGCAGTAGTCCCGCGCTAGTGTGCTCATCGACACTGGGGCTCGCATCATACGTCGTTCTCATGCGATGCGTTGCCGTATCCATCCCAGGCTCATCTATTGCTGGACATAGTCTGCACGTTCCGTCATCAGTCATTATGGTATCTCGGACAGTGTGCGCATCCAACTGCTCGCAGGAGCAAGACATCGTGTGTCATCACTCATCCACCTGGTGCTCTCGTGCGAGAGTGGGTTGTACTCTTGTCAGCCTCATGCTGCACTGTGCTTTGGTTCATCTCAGGCTCTGTGCTGCTGACAGTGCGTCTGTACATCCCAGGTTCATGGGCACGTATGCGTGACTCATCTAGTAGCTCATGTAGCACATGTAGTGCCTCGATACGCGTCTCTCATGGACAAGCTGTCGCCTGATCACTCAGTATTTCTACTGGCAATTGATATGCGACACTCATCAGCTGATTCTCATGGCATCACGCGTCGTGCACTCATAGCGTGGCATGCGCGACAGTGTCGGACTCCATCCAGGTAATCTCGTGGCACAGCTGGGACGAATCAGCTAGGTTCAAGCTGCACGCTGTCTCATCTCTAGTTCCTATCGGACGTACCGTGGGCTGCTAATCCAATCATGTGTCACTACTTGCCACCGCGATGATCAGAGGATTCTCGACGTGTGGAGCTACACTTCCATCGTCATCGACACGTGTCGCTGACCTATCTTGTCTCCCACGACTCTCGCTTAGTCTACCCCGCTTCATCGGGCCACGTCCTCGTGATCACTTCGAAGCTCTCCATCTATCTGCTGCCAGACCTGTGTCGATCCTCAAGGCTTCCATCGTGACAAGTAGTGTATCTCCACAAATAGTTCACTTGTGCACGATTGTACCATCTCACTGCGCTCTTGTCACGTGTGATCCACTTAGCGAGTCAGTCAAGCCTCGCGCCTGTGAGTGCTGATTCTACGGTCTCATGTCATCTCACGTGTGTTAACACAGGTTTTTTTTAATTTTCTTTTCTTACCCGACTCGTCTTCATTTGAGTCTACTCTATTATCCTACTTGGGCCCACATGTCTGCTCATCTCTCCACCATCTAATCTCGACCTCTCTCATCTTCATCAGACGCAATGCTCTGCATACTATCGTCAGAGTCTTAGTCACACCGAGTAGAGCCAAATCTTGTCATCACGTAGCACGGCTCTCCATGGCGTCATTGATGATTCACACACACGCATAAAGCGTCCTTCACGGCTCCCATAGATGAGAACTACCTCCACTATCAAGCACCTCCATCACTTAGGGGCACTCCCATACAGCATTCTCCATACACAGAACAAACTATTCACAGTCAAACACTCGCGTAATGGCTCCCAATGCTGATGAGTCAATAACTCCACTCATGTAAAGCTCAAGTCATACACATTACTTCATATCATTCCAATCGCGTGCAGTCGTCAAAATACACTACAGACACCACGCTCACATGCTTCTCTTTATCCCCGACGCATATCATCACGTAAAAGTATCAATCGTGTGTCTAGCATCTACTGTGCTATTCATCATAGTGTGTCACTCTCACATATGTGTGTGTCTGTCAATTAGTGACATACACATACTTTATTAACTGCTAATTAGTCTACTACGTGTGGAGCTGGAGAGATAGAGTTCTTTCTTATGCATTGACCAATAGCAGTGCATGTGTGAGGAATTCCTCAAGGTATTATATCGTCGACTACTGTCTCTATGACTGCGTTGTACTCTGAAAGACAGAATTAGTACATAACTGTACTATTTCAGGATACCGACGTTCTTTTGTCAGACTCAGCAGATCTATGATGAATCCGTTTTGTTGCGCTTACATTCGAGATCTGTACGCGAGAAGAAAATATATCACCATGCATACACATAGGGGGGGCTGGATAGTGTAGAGATCATAAGCACACTGAATTGACGCAGCTCTAACCTATGATCATCAAATGCAACTAGGTCAATAAGGGGAATGCGCTACGTCACTGTGTATGGGACATTGAAAATGATAATAGAGTCTACATGTACATTGTGTACTATCAGCACGTATGTCATATCATCATAAGTTGGATATAAAGAGACGATAGAATATATTAGCTCACCGAATGCATGCATCTAGATACAGTACTGCACGGTCATCTTCAAACAACATAGTAGCATAAATGATCTGCGGGACTATATAGACAGCGTAGAGAATAGAAAACATTAGCAGATATAAGGGGATGCAGAGGTATGCATGGGGTAAACTCAGTTCAGAAGATGTGTGTTGCGAGCAGTGTGCGCGCGTGTAGTAGGAGAGGCAGGGGTAAAGTAATTGGGTCGTATATCATCAGTATGTACATGGACAAACTAGGATGGTTAGGTAGTTATAAGGCATGCGAAAAATACGCTGAGTGTATGCCATGATCAGTGTAAATTCAGGGACGGAATCTTAAGGATTTCGCAAGAGCAAGGTTTAAAGTGGTGAAGCGAGGAGTAGTACACTTCATTGAGACAATATGGATGTACATAGATTACACACAATGGAAATCAACTGACTTTTTGTTGCTGGATGCACAAAGGCGGTATAGTAGTTAGGTGGAGAATACAACAAAATATTAAATACTATAAATAAAGAGATAAAGTCATACGATATGTGTGGATAATTGCATGAGAAAAAATGAATGTGAGTGGAAAGAATTGTGAAGGGTAAATGGTGGTGGTGATTTGGGGATTAGGGGTGGGGTGGTGGAGACATAGATGGAATATTTGATTGATGTCAGAGTGAAGAATGGGGATGGGGGCGGGTGATTGCAAGAAATGACATATGGAATGTGTAAGTCAGTGCGATGTTAAGATGCATAGTGAAATTTCAAATGAGTGGTGCGATGCGTAGATATAAAGGCACACGTTGGCGGAATGTAGGAGTGAGGAGGAAAGTCATGGGGGGATTATGACAATGATGAAATGTAATAATTAGGAATAAGTACAAGTGGGAAATTGATATGGAATGGGAGGAATGCGAATGGAGTATGAGAGGAACAAAGGAAGGGTAATAAGTGAGATGGTATACCATGGCTATATCTTGGACCTGGGATGTAAGTAGCATTAGACTAGGTATTCTAAAAGGATGGACAAGTTGATGTGTGTAGGACTCATGAAAGTCACTAGATTAAATACGGTATTAGTGTGAACGAATAGAGGACATTGGACAAGGTAATACAATGTTAGTGTGCAATTAATTGGGTCAAGGGGGGGGGTACATTAAGGTGATAGGTGATTGACAATAGATTAGCGATTGAGGGTGGACAATATTTGCGTTTAAAGGTATAAGAATTAGCGGGTTGGGTGTAATATAGGTGTTGAAGATTGAGGAGTATGTAAGGGGAAGGGGGAAGGGGGGGTATTTGAGGGGAAGTAGTACAGAATTGTGGAGTTTGTTGTGTGGCACAAACATGTCATTGGATGTAAGATTCTGCTAATAATTAAAATAT